CAGAAATCAATGTAATAGAGACTAAGAAAACAATCCAAAGAATCAACGAATCAAAGAGTTGGTTCTTTGAAAGAATAAATAAAATCGATAAACCCCTAGCCAACCTTATTTAAAAAAGGGAAGAAAAAGCTCAAATTCATGCAATAAAAAATGAAAACAGTGAAATCACTACAGACTCAATAGAAATACAGAAGATCATCAACACCTATTTCAAAAACCTCTACTCTCAAAAGTTTGATAACACAGAAGAAATAGACAGATTCTTAGAAACATATGAAGTACCAAAGCTAGATCAGGAGGATGTAAAACTGTTGAATAACCCAATCTCTGTTAATGAAATTGAAAATGTAATTAAGTCCTTAACTACAAAGAAGAGCCCAGGCCCAGATGGATTCACTGCAGAATTCTACAAGAAATACAAAGAAGACCTAATGCCGGCACTCCTAAAACTATTCAATGAAATTGAAAGGGAAGCAATCCTTCCTAAGTCATTCCTGGAAGCAATTATTACTCTAGTACCAAAACCTGAGAAAGACCCAACTAAAAAAGAGAACTATAGACCGATCTCCCTAATGAACACAATTGCAAAAATCCTCAATAAAATATTGGCAAATAAGATGCAGCAAATCATCAAAAAGATTATACACCATGACCAAGTGGGATTCATCACAGGAATGCAAGCATGGTTCAGCATACGCAAATCAATAAATGTAATCCACCATATCAGTAAAGCCAAAAGTAAGAATCACATGATCATTTCTATAGATGCAGAAAAAGCCTTCAATAAGGTCCAACATTTATTCATGATAAGAACTTTACAGAAAATTGGAATAGATGGTCTTTACCTCAATATAATAAAGGCCATTTATGACAAACCAACAGCCAGCATCATACTAAATGGCCAAAAATTGAAAGCCTTTACTTTAAAATCAGGCACAAGACAAGGATGTCCTTTATCACCACTCCTATTTAATATAGTACTGGAAGTACTAGCCAGAGCAATTAGGCAAGAGAGAGAAATAAAAGGGGTAAAGATAGGAAAAGAAGAAGTTAAATTATCATTGTTTGCAGATGACATGATACTCTACAAAGAAGACCCCCTAAACTCCATTGAAAAACACTTAGATACAATAAATTAATTCAGTAATGTGGCTGGATACAAAATCAATACTCAGAAATCAATAGCATTCCTATAGACAAACAACAAAATTACAGAGAGGGAAATAAGAGAAACTACACTCTTCACATTAGCAAGCAAAAAAATGAAATATTTAGGAATTACTCTTACAAAAGAAGTGAAAGATTATACACTGAAAATTATAATACACTGAAAAAAGAAATTGAAGATGATCTCAGAAAATGGAAAGACATCCCTTGCTCATGGATAGGAAGAACAAACATTGTGAAAATGGCCATACTCCCAAAAATGTTATACAGATTCAATGCAATCCCAATAAAAATACCATCAACATACTTTATAGATCTAGAGAAATCACTCCTAAAATTCATCTGGAACTAGAAGAGTCCTAGAATAGCAAAGGCAAATCTAAGCAGCAAAGACAAGGCAGGAGGCATCACAATCCCTGACTTGAGGTTATACTACAAAGCAACAGTAGTAAAATCAACATGGTACTGGAATCAAAACAGAGCCAAAGATCAATGGAATAGATTAGAAGATACAGCCACAACTACAAACACACTCAACCACCTTATCTTTGATAAAGGAGCCAAGCAGGTTCACTGGAAGAACGACAGTCTCTTTAATAAATTGTGCTGGAAAAACTGGCTCTCCATTTGCTGAAAACTAAAGCTAGACCCATGTCTATCACCATGTACTAAATTAAAATCTAAATGGGTCAAAGATCTGAATATTAAAACAGAAACACTAAATCTATTGGAAGACAAATTGAATAGAAACCTTGAAGACATAGAAGTAGGTAGAGAATTCATGAACAGGACTCAAACCGCACGGGAAATACTTCCCAGACTCAATAGCTGGGACCACTTCTTATTAAAAAGTTTCTACATGTCAAAACAAATCTCCAGCATAGTAAAAAGAAAACCCACAAACTGGGAAAAGATTTTAGTGAACTCTCTCTCAGACAAGGGGCTCTTGTCTAAAACATATAAAGAATTAAAAAAACTCAGACCCCCAAAATTCAAAGATCCAATCCAAAAATGGGCATGTGAGATGAATACGCACTTCTCAGATGAAGAAATGCAAATGGCAAATAAATACATGAAAAAATGTTCATCATCATTAGTCATTAGAGAAATGCAAATTAAAACCACACTGAGATACCATCTCACTCCTGAAAGAATGGCCAGGATCAAGAAAACCAACAACAACAAATGCTGGAGAGGCTGTGGGGAAAAAGGAACTCTCCTACACTGTTGGTGGGAGTGTAGACTGGTGCACCCTTTGTGGAGGTCAGTCTGGAGATTTCTCAAAAATGTGGGATTGGAAGTCCCATTTATTCCAGCTATTCTACTTCTAGGCATATTCCCAGAAGAACTGAAAGCATCATACCACAGTGATATATGTGCACCTATGTTTATAGCAGCACAATTTGTAATCTCCAGATCTTGGAAACAACCCAAGTGTCCATCAACTGAGGAATGGATAAAAAAGTTGTGGTATTTCTATACAATGGAATATTATTCAGCTATAAAGAAGGATCACATTGAGATATTTATCAATAAATGGGCGCAGCTTGAGACCATACTCATAAGTGAAATAAATCAATCTCGCATGTGTGAATACCGAATAGTCTCCCTAATGTAAGTAATGATTCAAATATATAAAAATATGTGATAATCATGATTCCCCATTATGTGGCCTTGAAGCCTTATAAAGTTTTCACTTATTAATTGGAAAGGCTTTAATCTGGGCTTCCTGATATGGAAATACTTGAAGCTATAGTATATGAAGTTTTATTCAAATATTTCAAGGAAAAAGACAGACACTATGCTAACTACTATTAAGTCGGGTTATTTGGTGATGAACCACTAGGTTGCTGAAACAGTCATGCTTTGACCTGTATTGTTATATTGTTATGTCCTGTTTTATCTCAATCTCTGCCTTATTCATTAAAAAATTTAGTTATTTTTTATGTTTTTTTAATTAAGGGGAAAAATTTAAAAATTAGCAGGGTATATAATAGTAACTTTTTTGATTTCCTATTAACTTGTTTTGAAGTCCTGTAATACTCCCACTATCTTGTTTTGACAGATCAGACTTTGTTCCATTCTGTATGATAATATCAAATTTGAGGGTATAGGCAACTTTGAAGGCAATAAGATTCACTAAGATGCCCATTCTGGTTTGACTATTGTCTCCTTTGGAAGTCCTGTAATGTTTACAATGCTTAAGTTTTATTGGTCTTGTTCTCTACTGTTTTGTTCAACTTTATAGTATGTAATGAGATAGACAATTCTTTTTAAGGAAACAAGAGACATTGTTGATAACCATTGTTGATACCTTGTACTCTGTTTTACATCATGTGCTATGTCTATCCTTGGTTTGACTGACAGCTTTGTTTTGCCATATTTGACTTTATTCTCTCCCCCCCCCAAAAGTAATAAGAACTAAGGAGTAATAAAACCCAAAATGTGTAAATTTTGTTGTAAAAAAGAGAGGGGAAAAAAAAGAGTTCTAAATGATACAACAGCAAGAGTGTTTAGGGGTGTTAAATAGCTGACCATATTAATGTTTTTGGTTGGATCATTGAACACAACTGTTTGTAGTCTCACTGTTTGAGTGTCCACTTTGTATGCTTTGATACTGTGATTTGAGCAACTATCTCTAAGATGATAATATGTAATCTATTAACTGGTGATTTCTTACTGGTTTTTTTTTTTTGTAGTTCTGTATTACTTGTACCTTTACACTGCTTTGTTTTGTTTTGTTTTGTTTTGTTTTTCCTTTTAAATAAAATTAAAAAAAAAAACAGATTGTCTGTAGAGTTTTTATCATGTATTGGTGTTTGAATTTCTCAATATATTTTCTTACATCTATTGAGATGATCATGTGATTTATGTTTTTGGTACTATTGACATGGTGCAATACATTTATTGATTTGTATATGTTGAACCATCCTTTCATTCTTGGTATGACTCCTACTTGGTCATGGTGTGTAATCTTGATGATTTGGCACTCTGTTTTCGAGTATCTTACTGAGGATTTTTGCTTCTATGTTCATTAGGGAGACTGGCTTGTAGTTCTCTTTTTTGTTTGGGTCTTTCTCTGGTTTTGGTATCAAGGTCATACTTGCCTCCAAGAATCAATTAAGGAGAATTGCTTCTCTTTCAATTTCATTTAAGAGTTTGAGGAATATTGACCCTAAATCTTCTCTAAATTTCTTCTAGAATTCAGCAGTAAATCCAGGAGGACCTGTGCTTTTGTTTGTTGGTATTTTTTATTAGATTTTCTATTTCATTAGCTGATATTTGGGTACTCAGAATTTTTATATTTTATTGATTCAACTTATTAACTCACATATATCTGGAAATATGCCCATTTCCTCTGTGTTTTAACATCCTATTAGAATAAACATTTTCAAAGTAGGTATTTATGATCTTCTGAATTTTCATAGGATCTGTAGTGACCTCACCTTTTTATTACTAATGATATTCTTGCTTCCTTTTTTGAAAAGGCTGGCTAGGTGTTTTTTAATTTTATATTTCAAAGAACAAACTCTTCAATGTATCAATTCTTTGTATTGCTTTTTAGTCTCAATTGCACTAATTTCTGTTCTAATCTTTATAATGTGCTCCTTTGTGTGGGAGTTCAGCTTGACTTGCTCCTTTGTAGACTCTTCAGTGGTAACATCAGATTGTTTATTTGTGTTCATTTTGTTTTTGCAGTATGAGAATTTACCACTACAAATTTCCCTCCTAGGATTGCTTTCATTACATCCCCCAGATTTCAGTATGGTGTATATACATTTTCAATTAATTGCTTAATTTCTTCTTTTATGTCTTTTTAAAAAAAATTTATTTAAAGAAAAAAACAGTAAAAGGGTACAAGTAATATAGAATTTCAAAATAATAAACAGTAAGAAATCACTAGTTAATAGATTACATATTGTCATCACAGAAATAGTTGTTCAAGTTACAAAATTAAAGCATATAAAGTGGACATTCAAACAGTGAGACTGCAAACAGTTGTGTTCAATGCAACCCATTCATTGTTCAGGAAAGAGTTGTTTAATTTCCATATGTTTATGGAGCTTTTATGGTTTCTTTTGATGTTAATTTCCAACTTTACTGATTGTGGTCATATAATATGCACGGGATAACTTCAATTCCTTTGCGCTTACTTACACATGTTCTATGAGTAGTATATGGTCTATTTTAGATAATGTCTCATGTGCAAGTGAAACGAATGTATGTTCTGGTGTTGAGTGTAATGCTCTGTAAACGTCTACTAAGTACATTTTTTCACATGTTTGGGTCATTTCTGGTACTTCTTTATTGATTTTTGTAAGGTAAATTTATATATTTGTGACAGTGGAATATTAAATTTCCCTGCTAAAATTTTATATTCCTTACTTGATTTTTCATGTATATTAATATTTGTTTTATATAGATGTGTGGATTGGTATTTGATGCATCTTGAAATATTTCCCTAACAAGTATATAGTGACATTCTGTATCTTTTTTATCATTCCTGATTTGAAGTTCACATTATCTGCAAACCCAAAACTACTCCTGCATTTTTCTGAGTTCTTTTTACATGTGAGATGGTTGTCCATTCTTTTATTTTCAGTCTTTAAGCTTCTATTTAAGTTAAACATTTTTCTTGTATACAGCATATTGGTGAATCTTGTTTCTTGATCCATTCATTATGCCAGTCAGTTTCTTTTGACTGGTGAATTGAAGTCATTTGCATTGATAATTATAACTCATATATATTGGCTTATCTTTAACATGATATTTCCTTGTTCTTGGTTCCTTGCATTTGCCCTCAGTTAAGTTGATTGCCCTGCCTGGTGGTTTCTTTCTGTAGCTGTTGGAAATGTGGTCATTTTTATCTCTGTCTAGAATATCTTTCAGGGTCCTTTGTACAGTTGGTTTGTTGGTCGTGAATTTTTTTCAGTTATTCTCTGTCGTAGGAGTGTCTTTTTTCTCCATTAATTTTGAAAGATAATTTTGCAGGACACATCAACTTGTGTTGGAAGTTGCTTTATTTCAGGCCTTGAAATACTTCCACCCAAGTTTTTCTAGACTTGAGTGTTTGCATTGAGAAGTGTGCCATGATTTTGATAGATTTTCTTTTATACATGATCTGTTTCTTTTCTCTAACAGTTTTTAATATTATATTATTTTGCTGAATTTGTTGGATCTTGATTAATTGGTGTTCTATATGCTTCACCTATTAGTATGTCATGTTCTTTTCCCATGCTTAGAAAATTTTCTGTTATTACTTCAGTCCATAGCCTATTTATGTCATTTGTGTTGACTTCTGTTATTTCATTGACACCAGTCTTATATTATTTTTTCATTGCATTGTCTTGCAGCTACTGAATTGTTTTCCTTGATCTTTGTAATTTTAGATCTTTTCTTTCATCCTTGCTAGGCAAAGTTCTGTCTTAAAGTTCTGAATGTCTAGCTTCAGTTTCATTCAAGTGGTTTTGCAAGATTTCAATGGAATTTTCAGTTTCTTATTTGTTTATTGAGTCTCTTGCACCCATTCTATTTATTTCCTATATTATTCACTTATCATTTTTTATTTTCTTGTACTTTTTTATCTATGTCTTCTGTAGATTTCCTGAGTAATTCCTTCATTATCATTGCCATTTCTTTTTTAACTTGAGGTATCATTTTTGATCAGGAATTGTTTTCTTACTTTGTTTGCTATCACTTCAGAAATTTCAGGTGTGTGTTTTCTACTTCCTCTGTCTTGTTGGCTAGACTTGTTCTGTGTATGCTGGAGTTTGGAGATTGCATTGTGCTCTGCATCTTGTGATTTTCTATTCTAAAAGTTTTTATTTTTCTTTCTGCATTATCTTTGCAGGATTTTGTAGTAGGCAGCATTATCACTTGTATCAAGGCTCTCTAGGAAATGTCCGTTCTTCTGAGATCTTCTGTTTGTATAAGGTTCTTAGTTTGTGCCTGTATCAAGATCCTACTTGAGATTAAGTATCTATTTGCATCAGTTTCTAGTCCTTTGGTGCTGGGATGTTGTTGTAGTCAGGAGCTGTACATAGAGAACAACTAGGATTAGGACATAGAGTTTATAATAGTTTTATAATGGACACCGGAAGTTAACACAGGAAAATGCATGAAATCTATTCACAACACCAAAGACATAGATTATTTAGTCAAGAGCCTAAACCCCATGGCAATGTCCCACATGAATTCAGATAAAAACCCAGAGCTCAGGACAGTGCCTCTCATGAGTCCAACTGGAGGTCCAGAGCCCACAACAAGGACTCACACCATTCTCTTTTACAGTTCCGTGCCGGGAAGACCCAAGGGTCAGTGGTGGAAGCCAGAAAGTCTATTCCAGCAGGATGAAGGAGCTGTGCTAGGGGATGAGGGCTCCACACTGGAGCCGAGAATTCACACTCACTACAAGGACCAGGGCTATCCCAAAAGGCACCACAGCCATCCTCAGTGACACAGAGGCCACGAGCTCCTCCGACGACTAGCACAGTCAGGTACATGTCAGGAAGCAGCGTGACAAGCTCATCCTGGAGACCAAGCAGCACATGTCTTCCCCTCCGGAGCCAGGAAGCAATGCTTGATGTGAGGACCAAGGCTTCTCCAGGAGAACCAACAGCTCAGACAGCAACTCATAGGAGAACCCACAATGCCTCCTTAATGCCTCAACCCTCAATATCTCCCTTATTCTCCACTTATTTATCTTGGCAACTTTCCTCAGGTGGAGCATCTTTACTCAATGCCATGCTGATGTAATCCAGCTGGCGTTAAGTTGACCACCAGTTCTTAACCCATAACAGATGTGGTAAGTTTATACTATCCCTGTGCTTCCCAGTATTGTTCCAGAAAGGGAAAAACTAATTACAACAGATATGACATCCTAGTTAAAGTAGTATGCCTTGTAATAACAATAGCATCAAACACAGTTTAAAATCTGATAATCTGTGGTAAATATTAATTTTGTACCTTAAACCATAGAAGCAATATCTGTAATTATATAACAGAACCAGTTGTAAATTTTGAACTTGGATGCAAAGTGTTTCCCTGTGGTGGGGAACTTTAAAAATGATATTCATTCTATTAGACCTTTTACAATGCTACCTTCATTTTCTTTTCTAAGATATTGTTCAGAAAGTTTTGGAGTGCTTGTTTGGTGATCATGAATTTAGAAGGAGCTCTTTGGCATAGAAATATTTCATTTCTTAATCAATTTTGAAGTAGTCTTGTAGGGTAGTCTGCTTTGTGCATTGTTTTGGGGGGAACTTGATACACTTTGTGTTAAAAGGTCTGCTGTAAGTCTAATGGACATACCTTTATAAGTGACTCATTGTTTTTCCTTTCCAAAGTCATCCTCTTCAAACCAGCTATAAGGCAAACACCTCAGACAGAAGTCAAATGATAAAAAAAAAAAAAACATGATAAACATTTTCCATTCAGGAGTCTCAGACCAGCAATGGTTATCTGAATATTTTATTATGGAAGGTAAAATTTTCAAGGAAATTGAATTCTGCCACTTACCTTGGCCTCTGGGCTTCAGTTTTCTCCCTGGAATCCAGTTTCTTTCCTCTGATATCATTATACTGTGGGTTGTCCTTGTAACCTGCTTCACCAGACAAGGCTCAGAGGTTGGACAAAGAAATAAATAATAAAGCTTGGAAATGTCTTAGGGTTTTTTAGTAGGGGAGGAATTTATAGCAACTCATCTTTCTGAATCCCCATTAGATACTGAGTCCTAGCTTATTAGACATGTCATCTTGCCAATCCATTTCCCTAGGAACAGAAACAGAAAAGCAAACAATTACCTATCTAGCTTTTTTTTACACAGGTTATGTAAGTGATAAGTGGAAAAGAGTATGTTATTAATGTATCTGTATGGTCATTTGCACCTGAAAATTCTACAGGGGTGTGTGTGTGTGTGTGTGTGTGTGTGTGTGTTCACATTTAAAGTGAAACAAGAATGGTTGACATTACTGGTTACTTTTGGCATGAATGAAAACAAACTTCCAAGGACAAAACTGATATGGGACGAGCCAAGTGTGGCAACACATGCCTTTAATCTCAGCCCTTGAGAACAAGGCAGGAAGTTAGTAATTTCAGAAACAGCCTGTACTACATATGTATCTTGTCTGAAAAATGTGAGGAGAGATTTATTTGTTCCATTTCTCTAAATATTGTGGAAAGTGTCTGTATGTAAATATATTTCATATATATATATATATATATATATATGTATGAAAAACATCAGTTGGAAGGATACTTCTTTCTCCTTTCTTTCTTTCTTTCTTTCTTTCTTTCTTTCTTTCTTTCTTTCTTTCTTTTTTTTTTCTTTTGAGTCAGAAGCTCATCATGTTGCCCAGACAGGTATGGAACTATTGGCCTCAAGTGATCCTTCTGCCTAGGCTCCTGAGTAGCTATGATCACACAGTGTGCCAGTGTGACTAGCAGGAGAATGTTCTTACAGGTACAGTACAGCTATTTATTTGACTTAGTGGTTCTTAAAGTACCAACAAGTTCTTAATTTAGATACAAGATTTTTGAAAATGTACCAACAAGTTCTTAATTTAGATATAAGATCTTTGAAAATGTACCAACAAGTTCTTAATTTAGATACAAGATCTTTGAAAATGCCTGGGCTAACTGGGAGTTTGGGGAGTCTTGTCTTGGCTCTTAGGATAACTCAGTATCTCCATGTTCCCTGTCCAGATTCATCCCTGAGAGATTCAACATCTTGGCCCAGGGACGCTTTTATCAAAGTTACCAGTGATAGCTAGTCTATAAGCAATCCTGAAATCCCTTTCTCCACCAAGTTCAGATCAGAAAGTATTGTCATCAAGCCAAGCACATTTGACTACTGCTGAAGTACATATGGAGTGGTCTTATTCCTATGTGCTTCATTATGATGTTGAGGGCCCTTCTTTAAGACTTCCTTGCACCCCAAGTTTCTACTCCCTGTCTTACTCCAGCTATACGCATTCACATAGTCAAAAATATTTATAAATCCTTTCACTGGATATTCAAAATAGCTCATGACAAAACTGGCCTTCCATGTGGAATTGGTAAAGGCCCCTTTGCAGTTTCAGGGATATTGAGCAGGGTTCTGCAGCCAAAAATTTATCCTCCTCAATGTTATTGCCATCTTCGTCTTTTGAGCTCTTATTTCAGCAAGAATAAACTTAGAGTGTAGTTTTCATATCACCAAATTTCTGAAAGGAGAAAAATAACACAATTATGATTTTAGACAAATTGCTTCTCTTCTTTCCCTTCATTTTCTTCATCAGCAAAATGGAACCAATTTTTTCCATCTTGAGTACCTTGCAATGTCTTAGGAATATTAAATGAGGCAAAGAATTGTCATTATGAACAAAAAACAGTACAGGTCACACATTCATTCTAAAACTTATGAAAAACCAGTCAATAAAGGATGAAAATGAGTACAAAAATGTAATTCACTTATGAAATATAATAAAAGTTCTAATTTTCTGTTGCAATAAGAATAATGAAGGAACATTTAACAAAGGAATGAGAGTATGGACATCAGTAGAAGGTGTGTAATTTTTCTCTTTTAGTGGGATCATCACTGTTACAGGTTGTGTCTAGTATCCCCACAAAACCTCATATAATCATAGGTGAAGATTTACCAAAGTGGCTAAATTTGGAGTGTGTGATACCGGGATTAAGGGTGTGTGATTACTAAATCAATTCCCTGATTTGATAACACCCTAATCCCAATAGCCTAGATAGAATATAAAAGGGGCAGAAAGAAACTTCTAAGGTCCCTTGATTGCCCTCAACCCCATGATTGCCATGGACTATTTCTCTTCTGTGATGCTCTCCTTCATGCCTTTAAACCAGCCAATTATCTACTGAAATCTCCTGAATCTGTGGGCCAAGATAAACTTTTCTTCCTTTAACCTTGGATGTAGTGTATTTTGTTCCCAGCAACAAGAAAATAACTAACATGATCACTGAAATTCAATTAAATGTCCTATTTTCAGACACAGTTTGATTTTTTATTTTGTTCTGCTTTTTAGGTCATTTCAGTTTTGAGGAAATGGTGATCAGGAACATAAAGCAGGATGTTGGAGCATGTAGGGAAAGGTCTTGACAGAGAGTGGACAGTTCTTATTCTCCTGTCCCAATGTAAGTACCGTGCCCTTTACATTTATGGGAGAGACTTATCTATGGTACAAATGGATTGAGGATTTTCAAGTTTGCCAGCCTAAAGCTATCTTGGCTTACATACTTGTGACTGTGGACAAGAGACTTCCAAATCACTCTTTGGCTTAGTTCACAAATCTCACAACCTGTGTGGCTACTGGATGTTTTGACAGATGCCCCAGCAAGAAGAAGATAGGGCCAAGCTATTCCCAAGTAGCCAATAAGTACTTGAGAGGGTCAGTGAAGGTACAGGTGGGAGAGATCCATGGTTATTTGTAGGAACAAAAGAACAATTGAGGCAAGTGTTTCAACCAATCTGCTCTAAGCCTATCTAATTTTTCCCTGTTGCTTTTGAGAGAAACACTACCTTTTCCTCAGGATTACATCTGGGAGCTTGCTGATGAAACTGGAAATAAGGAGATAGAGGCCCAATCTTCTCTGATACTATTCACAAGACATGTGATCTTTGGGCTGGGGATTTAGCTCAGCAGTATAAGTGCCTGCCTTGCAAGCAGGCAGTCATGAGTTCTATCCCCAGTACCGATAAAAAGGAAAAAGACCAAAAAAAAAAGACATGTAATCTCAATCCAGTGTTTCCAACTGAACATGGCCTCTTCATTCTATCCCTTAAGGTTATTGTGATGTTGCAAAAAGATCATGTGCTCAGAGCAGAGGAGGGCTCAATAAATATCTGTTGAATGTGACAGTAATTTGTATGCTATAAAGCTCCAAATAAAATGATAAAGACCAGTCAGGCCACTCTGTTATTCAACCACAAAATGGAAAAGAATTTTGACATACTCCCTTACTCCTATCCCAAGACTAAGGCATAGGAGGGAAATAGAAAGAAGAAAAGTTAAAAACAATAAGAAAAAGAAAAGATAATAGTAAATATGAAAAACATCTAGGGTCAAGTGACTCTCTAGAGGTCTATAGTCATTTAAGAGTGGTAGAAAGTGTATAGACAGAAGGGATTCAGAGGTCTTTCTGGGGACAGAAGAGTAGAGTCTCAATGGATCTTAGATACTTACTTGAATGCCTCATCTCCTGTTTGTATATTTTGAATGACAGGTTGAAACAGTCTATTCTAATTGCTACCAGGCTTAACTATTAGAAAAACACTTCTTTATATTAAGCTGATACTCTTACAACATTCAGTTCTACACTTTGGTGCTGCATAGGAAACAGCTAGTCCTTTGACACTAAGTGAACATCTAGTAAATGTTTGATGGCTATAAATATATGGGCAAATATTAGGGATAAATATGTGTTGTAATTTCAGGAACCAGTCAGCATTGGTTTGGATGCACTGGAGTTTCAAAAAAATACATGAAAATAAATGAATGAATGACCTCTCATAGATACACACAACTATTACAGAATTTTGAACTGAAATGATCCCTTTAGCTGTAACCCCAGTCTATTAACCTACCTTTCAAGGCATAATAATTCAACCCCTAGGCTACTATTTCTTCAGAATAGACATTTTTTCAGAATATTTAGGCCAAAATATAGTCTTTCATTTGTGAGTGCATGTGTGTTACTAGGGATTGAACCTTGTGATTTCACATTGAGTTTATCTCCAGTCTTATTCATTTATTTATTCATTTACTTTTTTATGTAAATTTTGAGACAGGATCTTGCTGAATTGCCCAGGCTGAGTTTAACTTTTTATTTTCCTAACTCAGCCTCTCAAATTGCTGGTATTATAGGCATGCACCAACATGCATGTTTAGATTATAACATTTTGTTGGAAGAGTTATCTATTAATCCACTATCTTTCCATATTTCAAGGATGATAGAAAGCAAAATAAAATAGAAACTTTCAATCTAGAGCAAAATAAAATGATTAAACGAAATGTAGGACAAACACTCAAATAAAAAGTGCTATGGGATCACAGAGAGAAGAGTCCTTGAATTTGGAAGCATATGTAGAAAAAGATTGCAGAGCTGAATCTTGAAAGATAAATGAACTTCACATATAAATGATATGAAATGAGTGCGTAGAAAGAATATTCCATGAAGTCCTGAAAAATAACATAAGATTGCAAAATGGTCAAGTTTTCTTACATGGTGCCCTAGAATTGGGGGAAGAAGCAGACTCCCCCGCCCCCTAATTCAGTGTATTTCTGGAGGTGATCAAGAATTTGTCAAGAAGATAGACCATGATGAAATGATCATCATAGCTCTTCTGATTGGCACCACATTCATCTCACCCATCGCCACAGCTGATTCTGACATCAACACTGTTACCAGGACCAATTCTGATGCTATCTGAGATGTCATCCTAATAGGTACAATTTCAGTACATCACCATACTAACCACTAGCTCATTAGCCTTATTTGCCACTGACAACTCACTATCTCTTGGCATCAGCCATTAAGCCAATGTTTCTCAAATACTTCAGGAAGTAGAGAAATATAATGTATCTACAGGGCTTCTGGAGATCAAACTCAAAGAAGGTAACAATGAGTGAATATTTTGCACATTTTATGTTAAAATTCATACAACTTTTATTTTTGTGTTACATTGCTTATCTTAAGATTGTCTCGGTTCTATTTTGAATTAGTTATTGTATTTAGTTGAAACTTAATAATTGTACATATTTGTAGGGAACAGTGTAATGTTTTAATACACATAGAAATCACATAATGGTGAAATAAAGATATTTAGCAAACATTACCACAAGCATTTATCATTTCTTTGTAGTGAAAACATTCAAAATCTTTTTATTTTGAAATATACTTTCATTATTTCTAGCTATAGTCACCCCCACTGTGCAATACAGCACAAAATTTATTCTTCTTATCTAATTTCATACTCATTGTTCAAGGTCATTATTTTTCCCCATACCGCCTCCAATACCTGATATCCAATATTATACTCTGTACTTCTATGAGATCAACTTTTGTAGATTCAGCAAATAAGAGTATTCAGTAGTTGTCTTATTGTGTGTGGTTTAAATCATTTATCCTAATAGTCTTCAGGTCTGTCTATATTTTAAATAATGACAGGGTTTCATCCTTTTAGAAAACTACTACACTCCATTATTTATTGTTACTTCTCCAAGTCTATAAGTAAAACTGATGCATAGAATTATTTTGTATTTATCTTGAAATTTTGTTTGTCCCTTAGCATTTGATCTTTCTCCTTGCTATCATGCCCCCTGCAAAATATACATGTCCCAATTTGACAAGGAGCAACATAACATAACTTCTAAGATTGGGTTTGGTATTAAATGATCTGAGTTAGTCTTAGTATAATATGGTATGATCTTGGGAAAATTACTTCAGCTTTTGAGTCCTGCTTTTACTTGTATAAAATATAATAATCATATCTACCTTATAGAATTGTGTGAAATGAATTATTTAATTCTTATAAGCTAGACATAATTCTTTGCACAATGTGTAGGACCAATACAGCCTTTAAACCATGACTGAGCCCACTCAGATTTTATAGAGCATTTTACTCTGTACTTCACATTGATATGCTGTACTGTGGAAAGTGTATGGGGAAATCAGACACGGAGCTAACCTTAAAATTGCTTGCATCTAATGGCACAGAGTATTGGATCAGAAAGAGACACATTTAGTATAAAATGAAGTAATTAATCCCATGAGAAAAAGTCAATATGTATCATGAGTATGGTATAATTGAACAAGAATCTTGAAAAATAAGTAGAACAAATGCAGAATCATACAAGATTAAGAGAAACAAATGGACAAAATGGAGAAGTACCAAAATGTAAGGCACGCTGAGAGATGAGTGCTGCAGTTTGATTAGAACATAGGATTTTTTGAATAGGGAGACATAAGATTAACCTGCCAAACAATGATCTAGGTATAAAAAAGAAGTTACTTACAAGGGAGTATATTACTACATATAATTCAGTTTTGTCACTGGGCTCCTAAGCTTTTCAGAATAATATGTTACCTTTGTACTCAACAAAATCATACATTTTTTTTCAGGAAAGGACAACTATGTTAGATTATCAAGGATGATTTGAAGAGAACTGCAGGTTAGTACAGTGAAGAAGTGGTTGGA